TAAATCCAGTCCTTTAACCCCAAGCCTGTTTTCTTAATTCTTTGCTATAACAATACTCAGTAATAAGCACTGCAGTGTTCGGTAAGCTTGTTCATACATCACCCTCTTTGATGCCCACAGTAACCCTGTGAGGTGAATGTTATCATCAACCCCACTTACAGATGAGGAAACCGAAGCTCAAGACATGGCAGTGACTTGTTTAAGGTCGAGTTATTAAGGACTAGAGGAACTAGGACTTGAGTTCACACTTTGCAATTCCAAACTCCCCACTCTTCCACTGCCCCGCTGTGCCACTGCGCAGAGCACTTGGGCTTGTGTGGAAGTGGTACCGTGGGATACGGTGAACCGTATCCCAGTAAAGCTACTAAGTAGGCAAGAGCATGGGAAGAAAGGAAGGCCAACTTTCCAAGAAGCTGTAGCAGTCTTGGGGAGCCTGGAGGGACAGTAGAGGCGGCCAGAGAGGGGCAGACCAGAGACTGGTGCCCTGACGTCCCAGACAGAAGGGCCTCTTTAAGTCCGGTGCCCAGAGAAGTCTGGTGTCCAGGACAGAGGCAGGATCTGGCACTGGCCAGAGCAGCTCTGAGAGAACAGAACACATCCAGAGGCTGCAGAGACAGGATGCAGCCAGGACAAGCAGTGAGAACCCAGAAGTCGCAAGCTTGCATCACTCATAAAATCCTGCATTTTTAAGTAACAGGCGACTCTTGGACTTGCTTGAAGGCAAAAAGGAGAAGCCATTGGTGGAGCAAGCATCCCCAGGCCTAGGGAGGGGACAGAACTCCTAGGGCCAGGTGGGGTGGTGCAGGGGGAGGAGAGGTGGGCAGGGAGGGACCACCAAGAATGGACATGAAAGGTGCAGCCCAAGATCATGCTTCTGTTTCGCCAACATTTATCAAGGCGTGTGTGAACTGAGGTCATCTGCTGACCGTGAGTTGTGGAGAGGAGACTTGTCTTTGAAACACAGGTCCATCTATTAGGACCATATCTGTTGTTTGGCAAATACAATAGCAAGTTACCATATATGATGGCTTATAGAATGTTTATATCCTGCCCACATTACTTCCTAAAAACATGAGACAGAAAACATCAGTTTTCACTAGTGCTCTGGGTGCATGTGTCAGGCACTCAAGCCAGCTAAAGCAAGAAAAGGAACTTTATGATCAGGCTACACCAGCATCCTACAGGCCCTGGAGCCCAGGTGCAGCCAGCAAAGGCTCAGGGCAGGAGAACCATCAGGAAGTCTGGCTTCTCCACGCATAGCACACTGAGGATGGCCCCGCGCGGGATCGACTTTAGATCTCCTTTGTTCAAGGAACCAGCCCAGACTCAAAGTGTCAGGATTGTTTTTCTTCTGCAGGGGACAAAAAAAAAAAAAAAAAAAAAGGCAGCTCAAACTGGCTTAAGCTAATCAGGGAATTTAACGGCTCAAATAACTAAAACTTCCTGGCCAGCTGGATCCAGGTGGTCACACAGCACCACTGGAGGCAGCCTCTCCCTCTAGTGGCACCTGCGCCAGCTCCGTTCTCTGCTGGCTCAGCCCTCTTGGGACTAGCTGACTAACAGGAACTCCGGCTTCTCTCCTGCCCCAACCCTTGGGTTTTCCGAGAGCCTAGCACATGGGTCTCAGAAGTGGTCACATGCCTACTTGTGAACCACCCGTGGCCAGATGGAAGAAAATACTCACTGGCCAGACCTGGGGCATAGGCCTGGTCCTGGAGTCAAGGTCAAGGTCAGTCCCACCTCAAACACAGAATAGTAAGAGCAAATGCTTCATGAAGTTTACTGTTTGTTGGGCGTGGTTTTAAGTGCTTTAGATAAGTTAACTCATTTTAACCTCAGCTTATCTTCTTTGTTTACTGATGTAATCAGTACATTATCCCCATTTTATAGATGGGGAAACTGAGGCATAGGTGAAGGCATTGTAGCCAAGGTCTCACAGCTGGTTGCAGCTAAGTTGCAGAGCTGGAATTAGATCCAGACTTTCAGGCCCCAGAAGCTAACTTCCATTAGCAAAAGGGAACCACTACCAACAAGATGGGAAATGGATGCTGAGCTAATAAAGATAATAACAAGAGATGTCCGAAAGCCACCCTGAATTCTCACTCTGCAGAGAGAATGATTTGCCAGCCTAGGTTGGGTTCTCCCATTGGCCCAGTGCAGGATCATGTTATACCAAGGTGGTGGCATCTGCTGTGACCTCATACATGGACTACTTCCAGAAAACAAAGGGGGACAAAGGAATAAGCACCCTTCTACCACTCTTCTCTGGTGAGGTGTTGTATGATTGGGGAAATGCAATTTTAGTCACGAGGATAAACAGGAAAAGGTATCAGCTAAAGTTCCCTGGGTGTACATATTTACATTCTACTCCATCCTAAATTCTGCTCCCCACCATGGGTGAGTGGGTATGAAGCATCCAAAAGACCAAAGGTGCATAGGGAACCATGGAGCTGAAGGGGATGTCCAAGCAGGGTCCCTCGTAGTTGTCTGGGTCCAGGAGAAAACCAGACAATGAAGGCCATTGCTATAAGGAAAAACCACATAGATTTATAAATTATTATACTGTGATTGAACTGCACTTTGGAATTACAGATAATCCAGAAAGTGAATCTACTTTTTTTCACATCTCCCACAAGACTGTCAGTAGGAGAATGATCTTCAAGCATTAGAATCACAGTTGGATAAAAGCAGTCAGTAGTCTCAGGCTGAGGCTAATGCTGATGCTGACAAGGGGAGGGGGCAGGTGTGGAGCAATTAAGGCATCATTATGAGCCAGGTGGAGCTCCAAAAAGGGATCGACTTTACTGAAACTAAACCACATACACTAATAGCTTCTACCTGTTTTGAAATGTCCATCACTTTCACATCTATGTTGTTAGCTTCTGCTGAGAGCTGTAGCAATAACCCCTGATCTCAATGGTTAGCCAAATGACGGTTTCTCACTTACGGTTCACATATTCCACAGGTCGGCTGTGGCTCTGTTCTGCCTGGGGATGGGGTTAGGGAGCACACCCATCTGGGGCCTGCAGGTCTTAGCAAAGGGAAAAGGTACAATGACAGGGCCGTGCAAGGCACCTCCTGCTCTGCTTGGAGGTGGCAAGTGTCATCTCCACCCACATTCCATTGGCCAAAGCAAATTATATGGCCAGGCCTGATCTCAACAGGGTGGGGAGACATCTCTTCTTGGGGAAAGGACATCAAGGACAGGCCTGTAGAAGGTGGACTGGGTATTTAAAATAATATGATCTACCACATATCTAATTTGTTTTTAGAGGATGAAAAATCTATTTTCAAGTATTCACAGGGAACCACTGGCTGTATACACACACACACACACACACACACACACACAAAGATCAGTTGACTATATACTTAGCAACTTCAATCAGTTGACTATATACTTGACAAAGTGGCAAAGGCAAATACAAAGGAGAAAAAGACTGTCTTTTCAACAAATGGTGCTGGAACACTGGAACATCCACATGCAAAAAATAAACCTAGATGTAGATCTTACAACCTTCACAAAAATTAACTTGAAATGGATCACAAGCTTAAATCAAAATGCAAAACTACAAAACTCCTAGAAGATAACATAGAAGAAAACCTAAGCTGGACTTGATTAAAATGAACATTTCTGCTCTGTGAAAGAAACCATCAAGAGAATAAAAAGACAAGCCTCAGACTGCACGAAAACATTTGCAAAAGACACATCTGATAAAGGACTAATATACGAAAGAACTCGTAAAATTTAACAATAAGAAAACAATCTGATTTTTTTAATGGTTCAAACAACAAGTACATGAAAAGGTGCTCAATGTCATTAATTATCATGAAAATGCAGATCAAAGCCACAATGAGATATCACCTTATACCTGTTAGAATGGCTATAATCAACAAGACAAGAGGTAAGTGTTGGCGAGGATGTGGAGAAAAGAAAACTCTCGGGCACTGTTGGTGGGGATGTAAATTGGTACAACCATTGTGGAAAACAGTGTAGAGGTTCCTCAAAAAATTTAACATAGAACAAAATTACCATGTGATCCAGTTCACTTCTGGGTATACATCTGAGGGAAACAAAATCACGGTCCAAAGAGATTACAGCACCTCAATTATTATAATAATATTGTGAATAATATTATTCACAATAGCCAAGACATGGAAGCAACCTAAATGTCTATCAACGGATGAGTGGATGAAGAAAATGCAGTGTGTACACACACACACACACACACACACACACACACACACCACACTGGAATATTATTTAGCCATAAAAAGAAGGAAATCCTACCATTTAGACAACATGGATGACCTTGGAGGCATTATGCTAAGTGAAATAAGTCAGACAAAGACAAATACTGTATGATCTCACTTACACGTGGAACCTTAAAAAAGAGAACTCATAAAAACAGAGAACAAATTGGTGGTTGCCAGAGACAGAGAGTGGGAGGTGGGGGAAACGGATGTAGGTGGTCAAAATGCACAAACTTTCAGTTATAAGTTCTGGGGATTTAATGTGCAGAATGGTAAGAGTAGTTAACTATACTACATTGTACATTTTTAATTTACTAATCTTAATTTGCTGATCTTAATTGGTGAAATTTGTAGATCTTAGAAGTTCTCATCACAAGGAAAGAAAACTATGAGGTGATGGATGTTAACTAAACTTACTGTGCTAATCATTTTGCAATATTTATACATATCAAGTCATTATGTTATATATCTTAAATACAATGTTATATGTCAATTTTATCTTAATAAAACTGAGTGGGTGAGATGCTCCACATCATATGTCATTAGGGAACTGCAAATTAAAACAACAGTGAGATACTACTACAGGCCCATTAGAATGGTCAAAATCCAAAACACTGACAACACCAAATACTGGTAAAGATGTGGAGTAATAGTAATTCTTACTAATTTCTGGTGGGATTGCAAAGTAGGACAGACACTTTGGAAAACAGTCTGGCAGTTTCTTACAAAACTAAACATATTCTTACCATATGACTCAGCAATGATGCTCCTTGGTATCTCCCCAAAGGAGCTGGAAACTTATGTCCACAAAAAAGCCTGTACAGGAATGTTTATAGCAGTTTTACTCGTAATTGCCAAAACCTGGAAGCAACCAAGATTTCCTTTAATGGGTAAATGTATAAATTGTACTACATCCACACAATGGAATGTTGGTTATTCATCACTAAAAAGAAATGAGCTACTAAACAATGAAAAGACATGGAGGAACCTTAAATGCACACCAAGTGAAGGAAGCCAATCTCAAAAGGCTATAAACTATACGATTCTAACTATATGACATTCTGGAAAAGGTAAAACTATGGAGAATATTAAAAAAAAAAATCAGTGGTTGCCAAAGGTTACAGAGGAAGGAGGGATGGATATGTAAAGGACAGAGGATTTTTAGGACGTGCAACTGCTCTGTATGGTACTATGATGGCGAATACCTGCCTTATACATTTGTTCAGATACAAAATGTACAACAGTTAACAAGTGTAAAGTGTACAAGAGTGAACCCTAATGTGTAAACTCTGGTCTCTAGGTGATAACGATGTGTCAGTGTAGGTTTATCAACTGTAAAAAAGGTACCATTATGGTGGGAGATGTTGATAATGGAGAAGGCTGTGCTTGGCACAGAGAGTGTATGGGAAATTTCTGTACGTTCTTGGCAATTTTGCTATGAACTTAAAACTGCTCTCAAAAATAAACTCCATCACATACAAAGTTAATAATAAGTAATTGAGCAAAGCCAAAAAAAAAAAAAAGGTAAAAGATCTTCACTGGTGACCTTCAAAGTTCACTTCAAGTCACCTTTTGCAGCCCCAGGCCCCCAGCCTTCACTTGGAAGGTTAAGGAAATCTGGACAGAGTGGGGCACGCCCCCTGCGGGATAAGAGAGGTGATGAGAGGGGGTGGTTTACGCCTGGCCTGAGCCTCTTACAGGTGGCTGCTGGCAGGAATCACCAGGGCACTCTAAAAAATACCAAAGCTCGGGCCTCATCGCACACCAACTGAGACTCTTCCGGGGGCAGAGTCCAGCTATACGGAACTGAAAAACGCTCCTGTTCATTCTAACGTGCAGGCAGAGCTGAGAATCGCCAAGAGAGATCAGGGGCGGGTGGGTTTCGGGGGCTGGGAGTCAACGTTGGAGAGAAAAAAACCTTCCCCAGAGGATGCGCTCCCCCTCCCCGGCGAGGTCACATTCCTGGGTGTTCACTCCAGCCGCGCGCTTTCCAAGGGCCTGCGGCCAGGTGCCACCCTTTTAGCAGTTTTCGCATCAAGAATGGGTTGTCCCCAGGCAGATGTGCTAACCATCCGCCCCAGGAGGAGGGAGACCCACATCTCCCATAGACCCCGCGCCCCGCCGCATGTAGCAATCCAGGTCCGGGAGCCACGTGCGGGCTCCGCGTTTGCACTCTAGTTGAGAAGGGCTTTGTCACGTTTCCCACTCTAGTGCCACGGAGCGCGCGATTACACCAATTCGGACCTCACTAGGGTGACACGAGGACGAATGGCCGACCATGTATCCTTCGGAAAGAATTTTCTCCTACGCCCACTAAGTGGTCACCCTTAAAACTAAAAACAAGCAAGCGCACAGATTTAAAAAACACATACTAAAAACCGCGCGTGCGAGAACGAGCACAAAGAAAAGCGGACCCGGCGCCAGAGCGCGTCCAGCGCTGGACTGGCGGCTTCCCGCTTCCTGTTCGCCATGGTGGCCATCCTTCCGCGCACCTGCCCGCGGCTCAGCACCTCGCTCTCCCCGCCACCGCGGCTCTCGGCGGCCCAGGAAACTGACTTGGTGGCCTGAATACCTTGGGGACCGAGGGAAGGGAAGGCCCACCCCCGCCCCGGCCCCAACCCCAACCCCAACCCCGCCGCAGCGTCCTGGCCCCGGGCCCCTGCCCCACCCTCGCTGAATCGCGCCGCCGGCGCTCCGGGAGCACTTGTCCGAAGGTCCCGGGTAGGGGGACCGGAAACACGCGGCCCGAACACAGGCCGCCCAGCTCCGCCCGCCTGCCGGCGGGTTTCCCGGCTCTCCAGCCCTTTAAGGCCTGTCATTTCCGCCGCCGACCTCAAGGCGGGGAAAGCGACGCGTGCGCCACGCGGGGGCCGCCTCCGGAGCCGTAAGTGAGGCGAGGCTGCGTCGCGGGCCCCACTGTGTGGCAGTCCCGGCTCCCGGAGCGGCCCGGGCGCGCCCTCGGCTCTCGGCAGGGAGGCTGCGGGCATTCGAGCGGCGGGACGGGCGGCCAGGGGGCCCCTCCCCCCAGCTCCCGCTCCTACCCGGCCGGTTCCCGCAGCTCTGGGGCCGGCGGAAGGGACGTGCGTACCTGTCGGCCCTTCCAGTGGGGCGGGCTAGGGGCAGGTTGGGGGGGACTCCGGAGAGGCCTCTGAGCTGCCGGTGTCCGAGTCCACCCTGAACCTGGGAGCGACTGGGAATCCGCGAGTGTCTCACTTCCGGTCTCCAGGAGATGGAACGGAGTCGACCTTGTATATCCAACGAGTGTCAAAAAGCAGGAAAATCATACCGTTAAACCCCCAGTTTAAGTTCAGGTTCGGGTCCATAGTGGTCACTCTTGAATGCACTGATGTAGAGGGAGTGAGGGGAGACCAAAACAAAACAACGAAAACTGCCCAGCCAACCGCAGTAGGTTGCTGCTGCAGTCCACGCGGGCCCGGGGCAGTTTAGAAAGCGCTACTTTCTAGGCGGCCCTGAGCCGTCACCCGGCTTCGCTCACTCTTTCTTACCCCTCGGCGAATTCACCTGACATCCTGCAGGAGTCGTACGGTCTGGGTTCTCAATGCCAAAGACTTCCTTTGTACGAATTCAGAGTGAAATCTCACTTCCCAGAAAAAAAGGAGTAGACAAAACCTTCCCCCAGCTCTGTTTCTTCTTTTGAACTTGTAAACGACCTTAAAAACATTTGGAGCTACTTAAGAGAGAATGCATTTTCTGGCTAGAGCGTCACGCAGGAATCTCTTGCCCCACAGCTTTGCAGGAGCAGAGAGCTGGGCGCAGGCGCGATGGCCCTGGTGCCCTATGAGGAGACCGCGGGAGTGGGGCTGCAGAGATTCCACAAGCCTCTTGCCACCTTCTCCTTTGCAAACCGCACGATCCAGATACGGCAGGACTGGAAGCAACTGGGAGTCGCAGCGGTGGTTTGGGACGCGGTGAGTAAGCCCCTGGGGCCTCTGAAAAAAAATCCACAATTGATTATTTTAAGACTGGTCTTTAAAAAAAAACAGCTTTATTGGGATATAATTCATATAGCATATATTTCACCTATTTAAAGTGATGAGTTTTTTTTTAAAGTAAATTCACAGAGTGGTACAACTATCACGACACTCAATTTTAAAACATTTTATCACCCCACCCCACCCCAAAAAACTTATATCCATTAAAATCACTTCCCTGCTCCCTCCCTGCGAAATAGATTGCATTTTAAGGGTGAGTAAAGAAAGCTGAGAGAAATTAAATCACTTGCCAGTAGTTTATGCAGCGGTGAAGAGGGAGGACTGAAAAGAAAGCTGGGGCCCCTAACTGCTTTAGTCACTGAATCAGTTTTTACATTAAGTTTAACATTGCACAAAGAATATTGCAAAGTGACAATGCCCCAAATGAAGATCATGTGTTTTCTTTGTTTTCCGTAGCTGTAATGATCAAAAAGTTGTACTATAATTGCTCCTTTGCTTCTTCCTCTCCCAGTACTGTTTTGTCAGCTGCTTGTAACAGAGACTTGCCCTCAGCATCTGGCATCACACCTGGGATTCCGTGGGAGCTCATTTAATGTTGGATAAATGATTGGCATAGATACAATTTTACAGTCTTAATATTGTATTAGGGATGCTGGAAAAAACATTTAGGAATAAAAATCTTGAGATATCTTAACCGAGTAACATCATTTTTAGGAACCCAGTCTAGGGTAACTACATGAAAAGTTTTCCCAGAATGGGTAATAAAAGGATACATAATAGTGAGGAATCGGTGAGCCTCCTGTATTCTCACCAAGAAGAGGAATTGCTAAGTATACTAGTAGTATGTGGCCATGAAAAGCAAAGTATATTTAAAAATTATGTTAAGAGTATACACTGCTTTTATAGAATTGTATGTAAATGCTAACTCACACACCAAGTCCAAACTTTTGGCTAAAACCTTACCTTTTGATACCGGCCCCGGGGTGAGGGGTGACGACTGTTAGGAACGCGGGAGAGCAGGAGGAAGGAGTGCAGCTCTGGGGTGCTTGGCGCTCCTCTGCTTTTCCCCTCTGGGTGATGTTGTGGTCTTGCTGATTTGAACTTGGTTTAGGAATTGGACATTCCTTTAAGCAAAATCACAGAGACTGTTCATGTCAGCTCTGCCAGAGTCATTTTGTAAACTTTGAGTTTAAAAGTGCTGTGACACACTAAGGAATTTAAACTTCCTAGATTGAGCAGGACCCTGTCTCGGGTGGGCAGTGTCCCTGACCTGACCATGGCTGTCCCCTTAAGGGCTTCTGGTGGGGCCTGGGGCAGCTGTGCTGTGGGACTTAGTGTCTGTGCTCTAGATGACCTCCCAGCAGCAGCTGAGTTCCTGTGGTGTTGTTAAACTGGGAATTGAAACTTGCAGTGGGCAAGGGGTGTGTGCTGTCTTCCTGCCAGTACAGAGCCTGCTTGAAACCCTTCAGCCCCTAAAGCACATGTTGACTTTAATTGAAATGCTGTGTTTTGACTCAGGCTGTCGTTCTTTCCACGTATCTGGAGATGGGAGCTGTGGAGCTCAGGGGCTGCTCTGCCGTGGAGCTGGGTGCTGGCACAGGGCTGGTGGGCATAGTGGCTGCCCTGCTGGGTGAGTGTGACACGCTGGCTCATGCCTTTGTGAGGGGGACTCATAGAGGGGCGCCTTTTCTTGACGCAAAACCACTGTTAGTTTTCCTCTTACTGGATTACTTTTCTTTGCCTTGTACTTACTATGAATCACATGCCAACTGCTGTGTTCTTACCTCCAGGAAGGCTAATTCCTTGTCTCTCTCCCATCCTGTTATTTATACTTCTCATAGGAGATTGCTTTGCCCCATGCAATTCTGTGATGCCGATAATATGATCTGAAGGTGACTTTGAGTTCAGAGAGAATTACCTTGTGTGTGTACATGTTTTTTTACAGTATAGGTGCTTTCCCATATACTCTCTGATTTAACCCCAGGAGGCGGGTAGAGCAGATAATCTCTTACCTTCATTGCTGAGAAAACTTTGCTGGTCTTTTTCTTTTAGGGAGGGCTGGCCCCCTGGAGTTTGTACTGACATCTTGTATTAAACAGTATGCAGTTCTGAATTCATGTCAAGTTTTGAAAAAAAAAATTTTTTTTTTTGGCATACAGACATTAAGCTATGCCTAGAGCATTTTTAAGCTTTATTTTTATTTTATTATTCACTGTTGACTCCCTCCTACAACTTTTGGCTCATATACTTCAAGTTACCTGATGACTGGATGGACCAGCCTTTAAGCTACAATATGTAATATTCACCACTTCAATATTGTCACCTGGGGCTCTTGTTAAAATGCAGTTTCTGCTTCCATGGGTCTGGAGTGGGCCCTGAGAGCCTGCATTTCTAACAAGTTCCCAGGTGACGATGATGCAGTATATGTGGAACACATTTGGGTGGTAAAGATCTAGAATTCCATCACATGTGGACTGGTGCTTGAGAGCCCACTGGAGCCCTGCTTCTGTCCTTTCCTTTTTTTGCGTAACATTTCTTTTTCAATATTCCTTTCTCTGATTAGATTTTGCCTTCCAAAGTTCGCTGGGGAGCATGGGCAGGGGCTGTGGGCAGGATGTACATATAAACTGATTTAGGTCCATCTATGGGATCCCATGGCACTTTCAGTCACTGGGGAGGCCCTTAACCATACACCACCTTGTGTTCTCCTCAAGTTAACCTTGTATCACCCCTGTGTATGTTAGGTATATTTTTGATTTTCTGCAGTCCCATCTGACCTTTCTGCCTGTCTTATCAAACCCGCTTTTCCCAATAGCTGTCAGAGTGGCCCAGCTAAGATGCCAAAGTGATGAGGTGACCCCTGCTGAAACATCCCTGTGCCTTCCTGCTGCCCGCAGGCCACAGCCCAGGCTTCTTAGGAAGGCTCTGTCATCTCATTTGGCCTGAGTCTTCAGCCTCACTCTTTTTCAGTGCAGTTGCGCAGTTTGAAATTCCAGTGCCACACACACTGCTTCTGGCCTGTCGCTTCTGCCTTGAACGCCTTCTCTTCACCTTTTTTCCTTTGGTTAACACCACATCTTTCAAGAATAAGTTCACATTTCCCTTCTTTCCAAAATCTTTCTTCGACTTTTGCCCCTCTCGTAGAGTTTCTCCTTTGTGGCCACATTGGCTGGCACACCCATGTTCCTATGTTTACTCCCTACATTGCTTGATAATTATTTTCACATGTCTCTCTCTCATGGGACTCTCAGTTCCTAGAGAGCACAGACTTTCTTCCTCATCTCTATCTCCAGTACATAGTATGTGCTCCAGTGTTCGAGTACATTAAGGTGTTGCTTACAAAACTACAAACTAAAAGGGATGACAATTGTTTACATGTTCTTTTTCCTTTACCAAGTGAGTGACAGGAGGCTATGTTGTCTTATTGGGTCAGTTTCCATGAGTTTTTCATGAACTAAACATTATCTCATCTTTCCCCATCACCCAGCGTAAATCTCACAAGCAGTCCTTGTATCACCATCTCCATATACAGTCCACAGCCTGGACTTCCTCGCTTCATCTTCTTCATCCTCTTCATCCATGTTACAAACAGGGTTAAGTGCAGCTCTCCACTTGTTCCAGGCCTGCACTGGGCAGCTGAATGTGGTGCGAGGAAACAGACCACTGCCAGGTGTCATTTGAAATCCTAATCAGGACCCTCGGGGGGCTCTGCGTGCTGCAGGGGAGGTCCCCTCTGCAACCTCTCCTCCACTAACCTCTAGTCCTCCTTCCTCCACTTTCACTCTCAGCTGACGATGTTTCTTCTTCTCTCACTGAGAAGATCGAAGCAATCAGGAGAGAACTTCTGTGACCTCCCAGCACCGCCTCTGTCCAGTGGGCATCAAGCCTCACAGTCAGCCTTTGCTTCTGATGCCTTATGTCGAGGGACAGGAACTGTCTGTCCTGCCCTGGGCCAGCCCCTTCTCGCCTATTCTGGGACGTGGCTTCAGTGGTCCTCTTTCCTGCACCATCGCTTTTCCCTCTTTCTACCTGATCATTCCCTTCAATGCACAGACTTGCTATTCTTTATTCCATCCAAAAAGTAAAAATTAGAGCCTCTTAATTGCCTGATTCTAGTTCTGTGGCAGGAAATATATAAGTTGATCCTGAAATGTCTTGTCATATCTGATCTCAAGGACGCTATCAAGGATGACTGGGCTTCTGTCACAAGTCCACTGGCAAAGGATAGGACAGTTGAGTGTCAATAGTGATGACAGCAATGGGTTTAAATACATCAAATATGTTTAATCCATGAGTTTATGATACAACAACAAAATAAACCCAATTAGTCATCTTTGGAGGATGCTTAGAAACCAACTTTTTGACATTTGGTTTATAAAAGGGGAGAAAGGGGCAAAATTTATCCTGCCTTTCCTATTCAAACAATTCCTATACAAGATGAATAACCAAATAGTAATTGAAAGAAGCTTTCTCAACAAATAAATGCAAAAGGAATCTAATAAATTAAGGCTCTGGGCATTGAAGATACGTGATTGCTCACGTAGCAAAAACAGAGCCTACCAGATGTTACATCCTCTTGATGGAAAATACCACCACTGCCTCTGAAAGACTCCTGTTCAAAAAATCAGACTCAAGTCAAACAAATTTACAGGAGTTACAGGGGACAGAGGAACATGTTAAACTATGTAAATGGCATAATCAGCAAAATCTAGATTGTAGGAAACTGTAGGACAGAGGATCTGTTTCTTCCCTAAATTGCAGGAGAGAAAAAAAATAAAGGAAACTGATAGATTAAAAGAAACTTAAGATACCGTTTACCTAAATAAACAAATGACCCCCCCAAAAAAAAACATAGGCAAGATGATAGTATTCTGTGGGTGGATACTTGGGTGATAAAAATTGAGTAACTAGTAAGGGAGTGAGCCCCACGAGAGTCGGAGGAGAGGTTACCCGAGGGTGGGTTGTGTTTCGGCCGCGGCCTGGCCTGTGCCGGGAGTCCGGAGGGGTTTCAGCAAGGTGCGAGCCAGCAGCTCCTCCACCTGCACCACCGTGCTGGCCTCCTCGCAGGTCTCTTTGCTTCTGGCCCTGCCCCACTGCTGGGAATTCTGTGAAAACCTATGTCAGGTCATTGGCATTTCTGCTTAGCAGTCTCCAGTGGCTTCCCATCTCAGAAAAAGCCAAAGCCTTTTTGAAACATGACCTGTGAGGCCCTAGGTGATCCGCCTTCTCCTCTTACTTCTCTGCCTTCTGTCTCCTGCGACTTCATTTCTCTTCACTCACTCCAGCCACTCTTGCCGCCTCCTCACCCGCACCCGGAGGCCTTGGCTCTCTCTCTTCTCCCTGACAGGAATATGATTCCCCCCGACAGGCATTCGGTTATTCCCTCGCCTGGCACCTCCTCAGTGAGAGGCCTCCCCTTTCTACCCGCCTCTCATACTTCCTGACATTTCATGTCTCTCATTCCTGCTTTATTTTTTTCCTTAGTGTATATCTCTAGCTAACCTGCAGGACATCCTACTTTTCAAAACACCTCTAACTGCTTATCCCCTTACGTGAAGGTAAGCTCTATGAGGGTAGGGGTTTTTATCTCAAGGCTCAGGGTAGCCACTTGGATATTTGTGGAGTTGATGGATGTTACAGGGGATGGTCAACTGACATTAAGATCCTGCTGAAACTCCTGGAACACCTGGCAGGTTAGAAGTAGCCTCAAAAATCCCTGAGACAGGCATTAGAGGATCTACATCTAAGAGCTGTTAAAATGAACACCAAGGTGATGTGCAAAAGACTAGATCACTTCTGTACTGCCAGCAGAGAGCTGTGTAGACTGTCAAGAAATCCGTAGTTAAAGGTCTAAGTCAACCCAGGAAAAGGCTGTCTGTGATTTCTGTTCTCAGGAGAGATGCAAAGTACCACTGAATTCTCATCAGGCAGCACTCTGTCCAGCAAGGAGTGGTCAAAGTGGTAGGTGTGTGCTTGTAAAATCTAACAGCTTGCCCATTTTCACAGTATCGCACTCAGGACTGTAAACGTCAAATTGAATTACCTACTGTCCTGATGTGACACGTCAAGACAAGAAACATTCAATATAAGCTGCCACTGAAATGGTGCTTCCAGCAGCTGGTCTGGGATCCTGTGGGGGATTCCCAATGAAGGATACAGACTGAAGGATGCAAATGAGAAGTCACTGTATGAAAGCATGAAGCATAGTTTTACATTTCAGAATTTACGGAGCCTAAACCAAACAGAATCACATGTTTTACAGAGTTATTACAATACAGATAAGGTGTTTCAATACAGATGTGGTTCACCGTAGGGGTAACTACCATTTCAGTCTTCTCTCAGCCATATTGGTTCCTAAAGTTGGGTCTTTTAGTACACGGTAAACAACCCACAAGAAACAGATTAATGAAATATTGCCTCATTTTATACATGACATGTAGAAACTTAGCACTTAGAGAACATGATCTCACATTTTGACCTACAGGTTTTTAATACAACGTAGTCATTTCTAAGTTTACCATTTTTCAGTAATCACCTATGTATTACATACATGTGTATATGTATTACATGAATACTTGTAACAGCATAAGGAGAGGTAGACTGGGATTTCTTAGTAGCCAATTCATCTTT